CAGCCCATGGTCGGACAAGGGATGGCCGATAATCCGATGAATGCCCTCCTCGTCCCTTCTCGGAGGCCCGTCGAGGTATCGCTCATCCAAGTGGTGGGGATCACTCGCTTCGGCAGCTTCATTGAGACCATCAGTGGATCTGGCTTTGTCTATCAGGTTCACCTAGCTGGTTTTTTCCTTTTCTAAAGTTGGGTTTTGGGCAATGTTAATAGAATGCAACGTCCCTTACGCAGACAGGGCAACCGCAAATGACGCCGCCCCCGGTGAGAGGCTACGTGAACATGTCTATACGAGGTGGAATCATCCTTGAGAAGATAGACGGTCCGATCTCCAAAGGCCATCTCGAGCTGCGAACCACCAACCCCAAAGACAATCCCTCCGTCACCTTCAACTACTTCAAAGACCCTGAGGACTTGAGGAAGTGCGTCCTGGGCATGAAGACCATCATTGACGTCCTCAACTCTCAAGCGATGTCGAGCTTCCGCTACGACGACATGCCCGTGGAGGATCTCATAAGCATGATGCTGGGCTTGCCGGTGAACCTGAGGCCCCACCACCCAACCGCCGCCATCTCACTGGAGCAGTTCTGTATCGACACCGTGATGACCATTTGGCATTATCACGGAGGTTGTCAAGTTGGAAGTGTGGTCGATCGCGACTACAAGGTGATCGGTGTGGATAGTTTGAGAGTTGTTGATGGTTCCACGTTCAATGCCTCTCCGGGGACAAATCCTCAAGCCACTGTTATGATGCTTGGAAGGTGGGGATTATATGCCTTTTGCCACTTCCATCATACATTAAGTATATAAGATAAATAATGTTAATGTCTGACAAAGGTTTTTCTTTTGCTTTTCTGTTTTGTGAATGCAGATATATGGGACAAAAGTTATTGCAGGAGAGAGCTGCCAACAGGGTGAAAACCGTGAAATAGAATCGGGTCCAATGCTGTTGACTCTTTCATGAGACGATACAAAGTGACTTTGTGGAAGCATAACTTACGTATTTATAAGGGCTCCAAGAAGTAGTGTTCGGTCTAATTCGTCCTTCAGCTTAGCTCTCTCTCGCTGGGGAACTTTCTTCTTGGCCTTGTCAATTCAGCTGTTTATGGTTTTAGCATGGGGCAAATGGTTTCGAATTCCTCTCATGCATCACTATCGCACGTACGTATCTGGGTTCGCATAGCTTTCATATTCTTGTGTGTTTTGCTTATTCTGACAATGTGAACTTTCATTTGCTATAGAAGCGACAAATTGAGTAGATCTCCTATTATGGTTTCTTTTTAAGTGATATAGTTCAGTTCATTTTCGTCGTACATGAGAGAATATATTGTTCAATGATAATTTGGATGACTTGTCAAAGACCCCACGTGACAATGGAAGACGAACACGTCAAGACCAAATCGTCGGAAAACAAAACAAGCCCAATGGTGCGGAGTATAGACTAGATATCGCTTGAAACTCCATCGAATTGGCAACCACAATAGTGCCTCTACTAATTAAAAGGTCGCGCATGCACTATTCCTCAGAACGATTTGACCACTGTAGAGCACTACACTTTGTCAGCATGCCTAGTGTCCTTAAGAATTTGCCAAAGCGTGTCACCATTTGTCAGCTACTACCCGTCGACCCACGATGAAAAATGTCTACATAAGGTAAGGAGCTCATTCGAGTAAGAGGTTGGACTCTGGAGAATCCTAATTTGGATACTTTACACCTTCCTTCTCTCCCAAACTACTGACTTAATCATCGGAGGGCCAATCCGGGTCCTAAACCGGCACTTCTCGACTCGGATTCTGTGTTGCAGATACATTCCATAAACTAGGCCCTGCCTGATACTGTGGTAGTCCAAATTCAGTATTAACATTCTGCATCCCTCGTTATTTCATCCACCTTAGCTCGAATTGGTTCGATTTCACAATTTAGTCATTGCGTTTCTTTCCAGCATAGAGTTTGCTCCATCCTTTTGTGTTGTATCATTTGAGTTTATTAAGGTTGAATGCAAATTACATGCTAGTTATATATTTAAGTTCTATTGTATTGTATTGTATTGTATTGTATTGGTGGTATAATGTCTTTCCACAATCGGCCTTTCACTAATGATGATAAAGACCGCTTGTAGAAGATTGTTATTGCACCTCGATCTTCTAATCTCTAACTGTACTATTTTTTCCATTAACATATGTGTTAACCGCGGCGATTTAATGATATGGTAATTGGACTGTATATTATCTTTACTATGATAGCTTACTAACCCCTATGTTCTAATACAGAAGAATTTTGAAATTAAATTTTAACATATTGAATGGAGAAAATATATGCTGCTACTTAAGAAATTAGCCTCTTCTTTACCTGGGTGTTAGCTAGATAATATTGGGTCTTTGAATTATATAATAAGTATCTTTTTAACCCCTTGCAAGTTGGGGGTCCGATTGTTCTCTCTACACGATCAAGTCAGAAAAAGAAAGGCATGACTAAATAAGTATCATGTGTAGAAATGGTTCTCATGATGGACGGATCTAGACATGAAGTGATGGGTGGGCCAAGATATGAGCAAACTAACAAGAGATTCCAAAGACTAAATTTGACTTTAATCAACCAATTGAATTTGACAAGTTTGGGATGGACAAGGTCTACCATTGAGAACCGTGAAATCGCTTTTATACCATTATTTTCTTTTTTTAAACAATCTTTGATGGTACTCTCGTCGTTCTAGCGACTTCCTATTTTCGATTAATTTCATTTCATTTAATGAAAACGCATTAAGACTTATCAAAATAGAAAAAGAAGGAGAAGAAGAAAGAAGAAATTAGTCTAATGTATCACAGTCGAAGCACATTAATATGAATTGATATTTTCACTATACAAAAACTTAAAAGATGTGATTGATTTATTCGTGTTGTAGTAAATCCTGAAAAATCCAATGTAGTTTGGAAAAAAGACAGGATGAAAAAAGGGTACTCTTTCGTCCTTTTGGTGCTCTTTATGGCATGAAATTGCCACTCGTTCAGAAGCAGCGGGGATGGACCTGTTTATACGCCAAATACATCCCAACCCGGTTCGTTTAGATAACAAGGAAGCCTGGAAACCATACCAAATGAGATACAAAACACTCAAATAACACTCTTAGTATATTTAAATATCATATCACCACTTATATCTAATAGTTTAAACTTTTAGAACAGTTTGACCGTGATCCCATAAAGTCTCATAAACATTTGGTTATCAATAAAAATGAGACTTAGATCATGCACGGCAATATAGGGGTGAGCAAAAGGAACCGCCCGGACCGGGAATTGCTCGAGCAAGACCGAACCGGCCGGTTTTGGGCGGTTCATGGGAGCACCGGTTCGATTCTCGATTCCAAAAAAGTGGAACCGGTGATTTTCGGTCGGGTTCCCGGTTTCATGTGTGAAACCGTTCACCCGAACCACGAAAACAGGATAAATGATTTTTCTTTTACAATTTGTTTTTTGTTCCTAAGCGAGGAGCTGGAGGCACGTCCCGAAGGGAACAGTTTCACACGCAATTGTCGTCCTTATAAATACCTTGTAATCTCCCACAGTTTTGAAACCTTGTCAGCGACGATGCTTGATTTGTAAACTTCGGACATCATGAAGCGCCACCGAACTCCAAACCTAGATAGGCTCTTGTTTCCATCCATGAACTCTCTATTTCTTGGCTCGTCAGTGCTCTTGCGCCAATCGATGTGCTTTTGGATTCAGCAGGTGGTTTATTCGTTTGATCGTTCTTGTCTAGGGATTGCATTTTTTTTATTATGGGCTATTGAAGATGGTGTCCAACACGAGTAAAAAAGAAGGCGGCTGCCGCAGTCAAGAGAGGAGGAAAGGCTACAGCTGCCGCATCGTCTGTTGCTATTAAGCGAGCACTTCAAGCCTCTGTTATGGCCTTCTTCATTGCCTCCCAGCCATCACCCTTCTCAAGCCAACTATGCATGGTCCAGGTCTAGGTAGAATCGGGAACCGGGCCGGTTTAGTTCGATCTAGTTTTCGGTTCCAAAATTTTAGAATCGAGTCACTGGTCAATTCCCGATTCTAGGCCGAACCAAACCACCCAAGAACTGATCACCCCTAACGGCAAGAGACACATGTTTGTGCAACATTTTTATTTTTTGAAACATCAAACATTGTCAATAGGCATGCGACCCTACTGATAAATGGATTAGAAGGGTGGAGACACTAGTATTACAAGTGCGTGATTCGAGTCTCGCGCTTTGTACGAAACAAAGCAAAAGTCAAAGAGTTAGATATAGGACATCAATAAATAAATAAAAACAATCGAATTTTCAAATTTTAGGTGAGGGAGTTTTATGAGAATCTCACTTGACTATTATCTTATCCAGAGAAAACAAAATTCAGATAAGGGAAGCAAATCGAGAATTCCAATTACCAATTTCCCGAAAAAATAACTTCAAAAAACACAAAAAAAAACTAACATCGTGCGGCGTAATTTTTCGTTCGACGCTAATTGTCCATTAGTTGTCGCGTGATGTAATTCTCAATTTTCCAATTTCCAAACTTTGCTCCGACTTTAGGTGTCTTGCGATGTGACCCTCTGTTTTTCTAGAGAAGATGTTTTTTTGTGTTATTTCTGTTAAAGTTCCTATTCCAAAGTTATATGTATATTCATTCGGGCCCCACCCGTGATCGGATTTGAGTTTTGCCAAAATCGCTTAGCCCCCCACGGCCCCCCCCCCCCCAAAGATCTCCAAATAGTTGCCGGAATATCTCAGTAAGGTGGGGCCCACCATGCCCCCTCGCCCCGGGGGGCCTCTCCCCCCCGTCCATCTCCCGGGCCCATAAACTGGCGAGCCTCTCCTGACCGTCCGTTCCCTTCCCCATCCCAAACTCCATAAATAGGGGCCCCACAAACTCCCCCACTTTTTTGTTTTCCCCGAGATGTGGACCCCCTCTCTCGCATCGCCATCTGCGCGCAGCACATGTGGTGGCTTCTTCCTCGTTCCTGTCTAGGGTTTGTATTCGCATCTCTCTCTCTCTCTCTCTTCTCTGAATCATCATCCTCCTCTGCTTCTTCTTCTTCTTCTTCTTCGCCGTTCTTGTTTACCTTTTGTCGTGTTTTTCTCTCTCTAAAAGAATTTTCTCGGCATATCGTCATCATTCGTTTCTGTTGTCCATGGTAGATTCAAACCTCTCAGTCAACCCATCATTTTCTGCCCTCGTTGCCTCCTGGAGAGCAGTGGGCGTTGTTGTTCTCCGTGGCTTTGTCCCTCTCTAATTCTTGATATATTATTGTTCATCAAAATTCGGAATTCGGGATAACTTCGTCTCCGCGGTAAATTTTTTCTCCTCAGGTTCGTGCTTCTGCTATCTTGAGCCGGATGGAGTCTAATCAGAACCAGGACGCGGAGGACGACAACAGAGCAATCGCCACAACAATCGACCGTGACGAGCGGACCGCCGGCGAGATTCCGCCTTCCGAGGCGCCGCGAACGGCGGTCCGTAACGAGTTCCTCAAGCAAGAGCTGACCAACAGCGACCGGGAGCACGAGACGCTCCTCGTCCCGGTCGGGGGCCCGCAGGTTTCTCTCTCGTCCCCGGGGTTCCACAGAGCGGTGGCTCCTCCGAGGCGGCCTTCCAAGGACCGCCACACGAAGGTGGAGGGGCGGGGGCGGAGGATCCGCATGCCGGCCGCTTGCGCGGCGAGGATTTTCCAGCTGACGAGGGAGTTGGGGCACAAGAACGACGGCGAGACCGTGCGGTGGTTGCTGGAGCACGCGGAGAATGCCATCATCGAGGCGACGGGGTCCGGTACGGTCCCCGCGATCGCAGTCTCCGTCGGCGGGACTCTGAAGATCCCGACGACGCCGTCCTCATCCTCTAAGGAAGACGGTGATCATCCGAAGAAGAGGAGGAAGCGAGCTTCGAATAGCGATTTCTTCGACGCCCGCCAGCCCGTCGCGATGCGGTCGGGGTTCGCGCCGATCACGTACTGTAGTGGCGGTGGCGGTGGCGGTTTAAGTCACGGACTGATGCAGCTGTGGCCCGTGGGGACACCCATTGGCGGCGGCGGGACGGTGTTCGTGTTGCCCGGCTCGTCTGGTCAGACGCAGCCGTCGTTCCTGGCGATTCCGCCAATCTTCAACGTCGGCGCGCGGCCAATCTCGAACGCAGCGACCGCACCGGCGGGCGGTGGAGACGGCGGCTCCACAGACGCGTCGGCGGTGGCGCCGAGCTCGACCTCCCCGGTGGCGGCGAGCGTCGTTAGCGGCAGCACAAGCAGCGGCACGCCCCACATGCTCAAGGATTTTTCCCTGGAGATATACGACAGGAAGGAGCTCCAGTTCTTGGGGCGGAGGAGCCCGAATTCGCCGCCGCCGTCGTCTTGCTCAAAGCCCTGAATGAGAGGGGTCGTCGTCCACAGTGGGATACCGAAGGTTAGAGCTGGAAGTAGTGGTAGGGGGCTGTTCTCTCAGCCTTTTTTCATTTCCCTTCCTTTTGTGCAGTTTGAGTTGAGGTGGAACATTACAAGAAACGAGGAACGCGACCAGCAAGCCTATGCTGAAACGCTAACATTTCTAGGAAACGACTCATCAGTTCAATTGCTAAATGTCGATTCGTGCTTTCGCTCCAATCTGTGACCGCGATTTCTTGATTTTTTTCTCAATCTCGCACTCTGTTTTCCGCTTTTCCTAATCTCCACATTAGCGAGCACTGTTCTCGAAGACGAAGAAAAGAAAGAACACGGGGATACTAGGAAATGGGATTAGGTGAGGGAACTGTCTCTGCACTTGGATATGGGGGGGGGGGGGGGCCCACTTTTAGGCAGGGCAAGATACGAGGGAGGAAGAGGAACGTGAGTGGCTCTTTGTTGTCTCGGAGCGTGGGCCCCGGCCACGAGTCGTCTCATGTGAGGGTCGCACGTGTCCCGATACACGTGGGCCCCCCTAATTTATTTTTTTTCCCTCGCTCTGTGCTTTGCGGGGCGGTCCCATCCGTGCATGCAGGCTTTTTGAAGGCCCGGCCGACGCGTGGCGGCCTCTCGCGACGCTTTCTCGTGGGGGGACGGCTCGACCCGGTGCGTGCCAAGTCAGCACATCGTTTAATGCGCTCCCCACCCCCTCGCCCCCCAGGCCCCGGGCGCGCCACGTGTCTTCCCTTCTTTCGAGCAATTATTGCATTCGTTCAGTCCAATTTGAACAACAGCTTTGCTCCTGCTTTTTTTTGTTTTTTTTTATAAAGAAAGATAGATATTTATATATCATGATAATACTCAACGGAAATATAAAAAGAGCCTTGCAAATCTTAAATAACTGCGTAACCAAACAAAAGTGGGAAAGTAAATAACAAAATACAGTCTGAAGCTAGAAGCACTCTCGTCTCTCAAAACTAAATCTGTCATCGTAAACGATCGACGGCAAATTACCAGATTCAGTGATGAGCATATATCGAGGTTTCCCCCCTTCATTTGTAATGGATTGCGTTGCAAGTCCAAGTTCAATGTTTTCGTCATCATCGCCGTGCAGAGACACTAATATAAATGAAATGTTGAAGAACACAAACACTAATATAAATGAAATGTTGAAGAACACAGATCAAATACTAGTAAGAAACTATTAAATCTATATTTAGATTTAGTTCGAGAGAGTAAAATTAAATCTAAATTGCGAGACGAGAGCGACCTAATTTCAGAGAGGCTGAGGACTTGCGTTACGAACATCTTCCTCGGTGACAGCCGACTAGATGACTGACCAAATCGTCTCGACGTCCACTCATAATTAACTGCAAAAATTGGTAATAAAGTCCCCGAAAAAATTGAGAGAGAAAAGAAAGACAGAGCTACAAAAGAGAGGAGGAAAAGAGAGGAGAGGAGGAGACAAAGAGGGAAGAGGGAGGGAGAGAGAGAGAGAGAGACAGAGGGGGGTCCCTCTCTCTTCAGGGACAACACTGCGGAAAAGCGGCGGCTTCAAGGGAAAGGAGAAGAAACCATAACCTAGGGAAAAGAATGGAGAAGATGACTATAGGGAGAGCTTTGCTTGATTTGTCATAATTTGCACTGGAAATGTTACGATCATATTCTTTATTGATGAAATCATAAGCTATAATATACTACAAATTATATCAAGTATTTGTTTAACAAACGATCGAGTGACACTTGGAAAATTGTTTAAAAAGCCTTAATCCTATTATACATAGACCAATTCAATCTTGAACATTTCAATTCATGTCCATTCTGTTATAAACCTTTCGACGATTTGCCAATTTAGTCTAAATATCCAAGTATGACAAGTTTTCAAAAGGTTTAGGATTAAATTGACGCAAGAAAAGTATATGACTAAATTGGTACAATTGAAAGATTATGACTGAATTAACATCCGTACCATATGTTTAGAACTTTTTGGAGAATTATCTCGATCGACACTTATTAATATGACTCAGATAGTATGTATTGCTATCACGAGAAATGAAAAACGACTACTGGGGGTGTGCAAAAGAAACTGCCCAGACCGGATTGAACCGACCGGTTCTGGGCAGCTCCCGGGGGTACCGGTCCGGTTCCATAAAATTGGAACCGATGATTTTTGGTCAAGTTCCTAGTTTCAAGGGTGGAACCACTCACTTAGATCGGCCATACTTTTTTTTTTTAATTATTTCTTAAAAATCTTTACAAAAGCCCTAAGCCTTCTTTTGTTTCCTGTTTGGCTATTTCCTCTCTAGTTTCATGCTCGTTCTTTCCCTTAGCCTCTCACGCTCGCTCTTTCCCGAGGATCCCTGCTCAGAACATGTTGAAGCGATCGGCTGTACTTTGATTCATCTCAAATTCGCCCTACCGTCTTCAAACCAGGTAGGGACCCTCATGATTAAATGCTTGTCCTCCACCTATTTAAAGGATGACCGGAGCTCGGTTTCTCTGGTTTTTTAAGTGTTTGGTGTCCAATTGAGTTGATTTCTTTGATGTTGAGCATTTCTTGATGATCGTTTGGAATAAGTCTAGGTTAGAGTTCTAAAAAATGGTCGACATCTTCTCCTCGCTCCGTGCTCACCACATGCTCAATGAAATGCTTGAACCAAACTCGTGAAACTTGTCTCTTTGTTGTGTATTCGAATAGGTTGGTATATGTTTGTAATGATGCTCAAAGGAAGTTGTGTTCCTATTTAAAGAAAATATTTTGAATCAAAACAGTTGGATATTCATCTCATATTCATTTTCAGTTCATCTATTTCGCATTCACTTTTCTGCTATTCAAGTTTACGGCTGTATGTCTTGGCATTGCCTTGATTCTGTATTCTCATGTGTCCTGGTGCTATTCGATGGTGGCTGGTGGTGGCCGTTAATGTGGCAGGGGCGGTCCAATACTTGAAATTTGCCACAATTATTGTGAATCCACCCATTTCATTGGACCGCTCGGGAACCAGAGCTGATTGGACGGTCCGGTCCCAAGACTACGCGGTCCGATTCCTAGTTCTAGAAATTGGGAACCGATTCGCCTTGTTTGGTTCTCGGTTTCGGATTGGGAACCGATCATCCCTAATGGCTACTTAGTAAAGCTTGTATCTATCGTGCAAAGTATACTGCAATCGGGTCGTGCGTACTCCTAGTCATGGACTGGGCGGACCACTTGAACACAATCTGGCTCAAAAGCACAACCTGGGTGGGCCGTCATTCTTTCATGGGCCTTGGACTCGCCCACTTTAGTCCGGTTAGGCCTGCCCCGTGCCCAAGATCCCCTCGTGATCCTCTCACGATTCTTTAATTAGCCCAGATTAATGATCGAATTCTATATGTCCTGATTACATGCATTTCATTATTTTTATGGTTTGGGTTTTGGGAACTCCCTGTAGCTCCAAACGCAAGTTTAGAGTTCTTTGAGTTTGCTCGTGGCCAACCAGTACTGAAAATGAATATCAATTCATATAAAAGAAGAAGGGCAGTACAGCATGGGGTGAGTACTGCATCTCTCACCAACCGTACGCCTCTTAAACCAACTTGATAGGGATAAGCCAACAGGAGAAGAAGCATCTATGATCTCTCCCTTTTTTGCTTTACAACATACGAAACATGAGCCGGTTATTGTGATTTCGCGAGTTAATATGAACACACATATGTATATTTTTTATTCTCTAAGATTGGAACTGAGGTGGAGATATAGATGCTTGGTCTTAAAGTACACCAAAAGCCGTTTTCAACTTATACAGGGCTTAATTTTATTTTCCTACATTGAGTGACTTGAAAGCATGTATGAAATGCCCGCGACATCGACATCAACATCCCAGCACCTGAACATGTGTTCCTTCGTTATATATACTGCTTCGTCCAACCATAAGTCCACCATATACACATCCAGGACATTTCTTGCTTTCGATACGTCGATATGGCTGTTCTTGTGCCAAAGGCTCGCTCTCACGTGATTATCGCCCTCCTGCTCGTGATGGTTTCTGTGTCGAAAGCCGTACTTGATGCCCATTATTATGACCAGACATGTCCTCAAGCTGAGAAAATCATATTGCAGGCGGTCCAAAATGCCACAAGGCACGACCCCAAAGTCCCCGCTCGCCTCCTTAGAATGTTCTTCCATGACTGTTTCATTCGGGTATGAACATTTACAAGCTCATATGCAAAAGCTCTCTCTCTCTCTCTCTCATGCGTGTCATTGGATGCTGCATACACACAGGGATGCGATGCGTCGTTGCTGCTTGGCTCTACTCCTGGAAACCAAGCAGAGAAAGATGGTCCTCCTAATATCTCGGTTCGAGCATTCTATGTGATCGATGATGCCAAAGCAAAGCTCGAAATGGCATGTCCACACACAGTCTCTTGTGCTGATATCGTTGCCATTGCAGCTAGAGACGTAGTCACCATGGTAATAGCCATAACTCCCCTAGCAAGTGGTTTTTACCTCACGATGCGCCTTCTGTGCATGATCATTCCTATATACTTCTCATAATGATTCTGAGCTTTATTCTAAATCTGATACAAAGGCATATGAAGTTCGTTTGATTTCTACCTTGTTCATTAGATTAGTTCTAGCACGTTCGCAATTACTCCGTAGGATTCACTCAAGAAACTTCAAACAACTTGTTATTGATGTATTCCAGCAACAAGTCAGTCCAGTAAACTCGACTATCATTTTGGAAAAAGCCTAGCTATCACAGTTTTAGAAAGTCGAGGTCTATGAAAATAAACCAGCGAGCCCGAGAGAAATAGGAAAAGAGTTTCAAATGGCTTCCCATCTAATTACTGTATTCTGTGGTCTTGTAGTTATCATTTGATTCACTTGAAAAGTTACTCCCTCGATAAAGAAAAATTACGAAGTTGCTCCACACATTGAAAAAATTTCTAACGCCTCGGGATAGCTATTATGGCATAATATTGGCTACTGTTTTCATTGTTAAGGCTGGAGGGCCATATTGGAACGTGCTGAAAGGCAGAAAAGATGGAAGAGTATCAAATGCTTCAGAGACGGTTAACTTGCCGGCGCCAACCTTCAACGTGACCCAACTCCTTCAAAGCTTTGCCAAAAGAGGCATAGGCCTCAAGGACTTGGTCGCGCTATCTGGTGGCCACACTATAGGCTTCTCACATTGTTCTTCTTTCCAAGCCCGGCTTCGTAACTTCAGTTCGACTCACGACGTTGATCCGACCTTGAACCATGCATTCGCACAACAGCTGAAGAATACTTGCCCTAAGCCGAACAGAGACCGAAATGCAGGACAGTTTCTGGATGCCACTGCATCAACTTTCGACAACAATTACTACAGAAGACTTGTGGCGGGTGAAGGTGTGTTTGGGTCGGATCAAGCACTGTATAGTGATTACAGGACAAGGTGGATGGTAGATTCGTTTGCCAGAGATCAAAGTCTGTTCTTCAGTGAGTTTGCAGCTTCTATGGTAAGACTTGGAAATGTTGGAGTGCGAGAAATTGGAGAAGTGAGAATAAAATGCAGAGCGGTAAACTGAGAGAGAGTTTACTTTATGAAGCATGATTTGCCAATTTCTTTTGTTTCCCATTTCTGTGTTTGTTTCTGATTCAATAAGAACTAATCTTTGTTGATGGTGTAACCATCACATAAGGGTCGATCTTTGTTAATTGCACAAGCATCACATGAAATACTTCATTTTCAATTTTCAAGCTAACAACGCTTTGTTATTATATTCATCAATCACAATCCGATCAAACTTATTATTTATAGGAAAAAAATGGGATCAAATCGAAGAATAGTGGGTAAGGAAGAAGGTACAAAATGATCAGAATGGTAATAGCAGATACAGTACACTTGTGAAAGATGACCAAGCCCGCTTCACCAAGATATACGTATCTATGCTTACATATCTTTCTATGTGATTGTTAAAGGCTTGATCAACTAATTGAACTCAAGCAAAAGCTACATCAGAACGAAAGACATACTTGACCCCCTTCATCACATTGCGGGCTTCATGAAGCAGACACTTATCACCATGTATATGAAGTAGAGCCATTCCTTCAGCTGGAGCGACCTATAGAGTTAAGGTGGAGATAAATCACGAACAGTAGACCAGGACATGGAATAACAACCCCCCCGCATATTTGAGGATGCAACACGAAGAATGCCACAAACAAAACGGGGCAAAGACAATCTTTATTGTATGAATCCAAAAGAAAAACTTCAAACAGAGAAAACACAGAATGGATATACCTCAGCCACAATACCATTTCTTGAATTATAGAAGACAGTTTCTCCTCCAACCAGCATCTCTGAAGGAGAATTACTACGGTTGCTTGAACCATTCTTGGCTTTTGACTTTGAACCACCGCTTAAGTAAATTAGTAAGGTGTAGTGGGTACGTTTTCCTTCACCAAGATCAACACTTTCATCAATATGTCTTCCAAATCGTTGACCAGCCTTGTACCTGATGCGTAGGCAACTCCAACAATCAATGAAATCAAACTTTACAGGTACTGATAACAACTATTTTCTTTGCCAGCTTTTACGGCTATTAACAGAGCGACTTTCAGTTCACACTGTACAATTGACTGTGAAAAGGTTCAAATCCGATCTAAGCATATTCAGAAATAAACCAGCAGTGATGTGATTTGAAGCAGAAATCAGACCTCAAATGCACAAAACAAGGGAAGTCGTTTTCAGTTTACCCCAGATTGACGACACTGTATTCTTGCCAATTCAAAGCCTTGAAAAAGTTAGCCAATGGGTGACTGATGCATCTATACATGGAAAAGATACAGAATGCGGTTTCGGTAATGCTATAAAGCAATACAAACCTGTAAAATCTGATATTTGGATTCAACCCAACAGCAACCCTCCCTCGAATTTTGATATCAGAGAATAATTTGTTAAGTCCAGATTCCCATATTGCATTTGCAAGCAAGGGATCGGTGATAGAAATTCTATCATTGTCCCTGTAAGCTTCGCCTTTCGTTGGACCAAGGCTTCCTTGGTGAACAAAGCCAAAGGATTCAACAACTTTTACAAATGCATTAGATTCAGCTGGAGTTAAAAAATTCTGCACCTGAAATCTTAACCATGAAAGAGAAATCACGACTCGAAATACACGTTCATTCTATATGCAAACACATTTTCTTGTAAATTAAAATAATCGGTTCCATGTTGCTTGGATCGTATGCACGAGTGGGCCTAAAAACTAAGTCGCCGCACCCTACTTGTAGTAGTGATGCGACAATCAACGTTCTCGTCCTAAACCATCTCAACATATGAACCACCATGCAGAAAGCTGTGTGACAAACTCGTGCACTGGAAGAAAACAACTGTATTCTCAGATTAAATGCAGAAAAGATAGTTGACCCTTGATGTGGAGCTACTCCAGTGGAAGCTGCATATATGAAATTCGAGCAGAGTTATGGAGACCGTGTGAATATTTTCTCGAGATATGATTTAGATAGCAATAAGTCATCTTATTATCTAGACAAACCAAACAACCAATGCAGTCTGCTAAAAGAATCAATATATCTAGCTGCCGACTCGATACGTCCATATCAGGCTCTGCCTCTGGCTAACCATGACTAGCTCTATTATACCTCATAGCTGTAGAAATTACGTGGTTTCACATAATCCTACTTTCTTGAAAGCAACATTCAATTGATCCACCTTCTCAACAACCCTTTTCCGCTACAAATATGCACAAACACCTCACAGGCAATCAGCAGTTGCCTCCTCAGAAACCACCGACACTCAATGAACACGTTCCTCAGAGCATCGTCCCTTCCAAAACGGATCCCAAAACGACACCAGAGGAACAGTTTTTTCCAATCCACAAAAGCGAGTATATCTGGACATATACCGGACCGGAAGCACTGATTACGGCACGGCAACAGACATGGAGCAGAAACGCTGCGCAAGAGAGCAAGAGGCGGAAGACGTACGGTGAAGAGATCGGTGTCCTTGAGGCGAGTGATGTGGAGATCTTGCTTGGGCTTGACGAGGGGCCACTTGGCAATGGTGGGTGATGGAGAAGGTTTCGTCTTGCAGCTTCTGGCCTTGTCTCTACCGTCTCCCATCTTCCTCTTCCTCTTCCTCTTCGCCTTCGCCTTCCCCGTTTCTTCTTCTACCATTCTCCAGCTGATTGAATTTCCCCAGATCACAAATCACATTCCGTCGCAGGTCCGATTGATGACCCGGTCCGATCGCGGGTCCTCGGTGCTTCGATGGGCCGAATATTGGATCATGTCAACCCAGACCCGCCAGTTTTTTGTTCTCTCTTTTTTTGGGTCGAAATTGTTGTTTTGATTCAACTGGTAAAACCAGAAGGGCCTAACATAAGTAGGCTTTCGTATACGGAAGATCCCAAAGGGTTTGGGGGTGAGGAAATCCCGGTTCAGTGCTAGTAAATTTCTCCCGTAGGTTTCGGCAAACCTAATTCGTGACGGACTTGGCCTCTTTAGGAATGTGTAGTATCCGAATATGATCACAACAATCGAAAATAAACACACAGGCCGTAGTACCTGAATGTCTCCTATCCATAATTCGATTCTTGATAAGCCATGTGTCGAGGGGATGTTGAGTGATGAATGTGACCAAACTTCCTTTGCCCATGGACATAACCAGAATAGATGCCATGTTGTCTCTGCATCGCAATCCTTGCGCACGAAACATATATATTGGATTAGGTACAATTCTCTTCCTGAATAAATTTTTCTTTGTTGGTAGTCTGGCACAAAGACCACGTACTTTAGGAGTTGTTTGCACGTTCCAAACATCCTATCATAAATTGCATGTTGAAAGGACGATCATTCTTGATTTCGGTTGGGCTTGTTCTACTTTTGATTGAACGTTTGCCTGACTGAGTCCCTGTCTAGACTAACTAACTGATCTTTGGCCGCTTGAGGCCTCACTAAGACTGTAAGGATTTCTTTAGCAATTTGATCATCAAAACTATTTTTCACAAGTTGTGCATTCAATGGATTTTCCTCCTTGTTAATCAGGTCAGCCACAAAAATTGTGGCTTATCGCTTTGAGCAAGACCTCTTATCACTCATCTTTTCTACCATTTGTCTTAGATAATTCTTAATTGTCGTCCATCACCTACAGACCATTGCACTGAGTAAGAAACAAATGCCCTGCCCATTAACAAACCAAGCCCAGGAAGGGCGTATCGCTTTCTTCGTATGCCAGAAATCTCTCTTCGAGGAAAATAAATTCCTTTTAACAGCTTGCTTTAGAGTGATGATGGGTTTTGGGTTAATCTTCAAACTTGTTTTGCCAGCATTGCCTTATTAAAGGCAATCCAATCTCCGATGCCTAATTCTCCCCCATTCTTCTTAGCTTTTAGAATATCTCGTTTCTTCCGATGTAGATCAGATTTGGCTTCATTAGTCTTCTACCAAAAAGAAGCAATATTTCCGCTCAATTGTTTTGCAAATGGAGACCGAATCTTAAATATGGACATACCATACTATGGTAAGACTGGTATCATAATTTTGATCAAAATCTCTTCCAGCTTTAGGCATCAATTTCTCCTTCCACCTCTCTAACTTTGCACTCTCTTTGCCCAATATACATGCAAACATATCTTCCTTAGATACTCCATAATATGACGGAATTCCCAAATATTTACTAGTTTTTTCAAACACCAGATCTCTCAATTAACTGGCCATATTCTCCTTTAAGTTATGAATACCGATTCAATACTACAAATATGTTTTGACATTCCTGTAACTTCCCATCTAAGAAGAAAATTGAGTCATTTGCAAAAAAAAAAAAAAAGAGAGACAAAGAGGGACGCCGCCCGTTTAATTTATTGCATTTGATGTTGTCAACATCCACTACGTTCTTGATGAGGGAAGAGAGTACATTAGTCTTTAGAATGAACATTTAGGGGATAAAGAATCTCCCTGTTTAATACCCCTTGACGGTTTGAAATACTGTAAGTGCTCCCCATTGGATTTCACACTAAAAAATATAGTCATTACACATTGCATAATTTATATCACTAACTTCCAACTTCCAACTTCCAACTTTCTTCTTCTACTTTCGTTTAAAATCTTGCGAGTGAAAGTGGAGATTCCACCCCTTGTGTTATTAAAGCTTTTATCTCAATTTTTCAAGTGTCAACAAGGTGAATTATTAAAATTTCCATTACTTTCTACAGTGGATTTTTGTCGTTCAAAGACAAGAATTGTTGATTTTCTATAAGGTAAGTGAAAACTCTAGGATCTAAGTTAGATTGATCTACTAAGTACTTTTAACTTGATTGGTTGATAGTTGTTAATTTTAATTTCGCTTGAATTTAATGATAAGCGTGAGCAAGTCTCAGTAATGTTGTGTTGAGATATTGTGATGATTTGACTCGTCTTGATGAGTTCTTACATGCTTAAAAGGTATTTCAATGATTTCCGTGGGGTGTGGTAATATGTTGGATGTTAAAAATGTGAAAATGACCAAATTGGGTTTGAGAGTGTCATTTTCGTATTTCGATTTACCAGCTGCTGCTCATATTCACCATATATTCATTAGTTATTGCTAATATTCACCAGCCGTTGTTTTTATTCACCTTACATTCACCAGCCACTACTTATATTCACTTTATATATACCATCCACTGCTCATATTCTCCTTATACACACTTGCCGCCTTATACACAATGGCCGCTGCTCATATCCACTTGCTGAGTATAATC